AATCCACGTACCATGCATGGTCTTTCTCGAGCCAAGATAGAACTTCAAGTTCTGAGCCTGAGGTCAGAGAGTGCTTTCGGGCACCCAAAGTACTCTCCCCCCCCCCCCCCCCCTCCCCTTCCCTTCCCTTCTGCCAACTTCGCTGACAGCATGCATGAGCACACAGCAACAAGAGACAGTATTGTTTTGATCAAATGTTTCCGCGTTGAAAGGACGATCATAGTGACACCTAGGCTGAATGGTCTTGCTTACTAGTAGTAAATCATAACCAAGACTGGCACCAGCACAGGTTCCAGTGGCACAGAAGGTTCAGCAGTCACCGAGAATAGAAAGAAGTTCAGAAGTCACGGAACAAGGACGATAAAGTGAAGTAAAGTTTTCAAAAAGACCAGCGTGCTGCTAATGATGTTGACTTCGTCACTGGATCATAGTTCTTGACTTGACCTAGAGACGGTAACTGGAGAGTCCGTATTCCAGTGTGGCGCTGTCACAGGGTGGCATGCACATCCAGTAAAGAAAGATGGCAGAACCTAGTTATGAAAATTGAAATGTGTGCTTCAAAGTAAGTTATTGACAGCGGCTTGGCAACAGCCGGCAATTCGACACTGGCTATACGTGAATGCTGTGTTGCAAGGTGCCGCAGTCAAGAGAGTCAGAGCTGAACAACAGTTACTATACTTTCTGTACAGCCTGATCTGCACGCAGCACTGGCCGTAGTTCACAAGTGCACTACAAAGTGTGGGCACTCTAAGCAGCATGCAATGTCGGATGATCAAGCTCAAAGCTAAAATTACTCTTGCGCAAGCATTCACCTGCCTGCAACGCTCGGTACGCCTGTTTAAAAAATCTCTTTCTTCTCATAACCAGCGATATCTTGATATACAAATGTGTCGTATTCAGTTGAGCTTTTCCTTCTTTTTCTTCTTCTTTTCTTGACTCTGTCGCACAGAACAGACCAAGGCACACATTCAAACACACAACCATGGGATTTAAAGTGAACAGTGCAACACTTATGAAAGATACTACAGGTGAAATCCTGATAATTCGAACCTCCAAATGCCAGCAAAAAGCTTCTAATTATCCAGACATTCTAATTATCCAAACATGAACCCAAAACACAACAATTATGTATGTCAAAATGCTCTCATGGTCACGCAGAGTTGCGCTCAGGGACCTTAGACACAGATTTCACGGATACTGAGCTGACCAGCACAGCCTGCTCATGCAAACTGAACTGACCAGTACAGTGTACAGTGAACTTCGAATTACACTTTGCTAACTTCAAATTATCAGCACAAATCCCACACATATTCTATGTAAGCGGAATCCGTGGAACTTCGAATTAATCGGACATGTCCGGTTCGAGGTTCGTATTATCAGAAAAAATTATGTGGGAATCGTATTGACAGAAATCGGTCCTGGAAAAACTTCTAATTAAGCGGTATGTTCGAATTAAGCCATATTCGAATTATCAGGATTCCACCTGTATAACTTACGAACCAAAGTTCACTTGTCTAAAAAACAGAAACGTTCAACTTTGAACAGGCAATTTCGGACCAGCGCGCCTAGCTCTGGTTATTTTCACAGCAATTTAGTCACAGCAAATCAAAGTGGATGGTGATGGGCCCGGGCATCAAGTGAATTAGCAACAAACTCGGCGTTACGTAAATATTGAAATATTGGTTACTCTGCCACTTGACTTGCACATGGCTTCAGTGAAGGCCACTCCGCTGAGAGGTATGACTATTGCCAGACCACAGATCACTGTTCAAGAAAGCTGTTTTGCTCTTTCTGGGACTATGTACTTTGCCTGACTTTCAATTAACTTTTTGTCCCGCCATGTCAGATCACTGCAATGTATACACCATGTCAGATCACTGCAATGTATACACCATGTCAGATCACTGCAATGTATACACCATGTCAGATCACTGCAATGTATACACCATGTCAGATCACTGCAATGTATACCGGTCGAGAGGATACACACAACTACATGGGGCCAGGCCAGTACAACCATTTTCTTGACTTCCTCCATGTGTGCATGTGTGTGTGTGTGGGGGGGGGGGGGGGGGGGGTAAATTACATGTAGTTACCTCGACCAGTAACTGTCGCGAGTGATTGCTTTCTAACACCATTTCCAGCGCGGCCTGTTGGTTCCGTCACTGCATGCCATATCCCACACTAGCGCCATCACCCCTGCAGATGCCAGCTTGTTCTTAGGGCAAGAAGGCAGCCACTGGCTGTGAGTACGGATGGTGGCTACCACAATGACTACTGCAAATCAAAATCCTGTTTCCTATGAACTGACAGTTCTGGCTAGTACTTACGGTGGTTTCTTCTTCGGAGTCTCCTCGGGTTCTTCCGGTGCGGGTGGCTCGGGCGGCTGGGGAGGCTCCTCAGCTGCGTTTTGTTGGGCCGCTGCGTTCTCCCTTCGCCTGAGAAACCTTAACCTGTCGACGACTGAGGTGAATATGTTGCGTCTCACTCGGCGTTCCCG